CCAGATATTACCCATTAAGTAAAGACAGCTGTTCCCTTTAGCACACATTTTCCTTGATCTCTGGACTATTCACTGCCATATAAAAGCCACAAGTGGGTTTTATGGCCTCATGTATACTTAATTAATAAGTGTATCTTCTTAGAATTGTATTTTAAGTGAGTGAAGACATTAGCCTCTGATCTAATTGATTCACAAAGCTTGTTTTTAGAATGTTGGTTTGGTTTAATAAGTGTTGATAGAGATAGAGTCCCTGAGGCCTGGGAGAGGCCACAGGTCAAGGGAGGGAAAGGCCCTTTCTCTTCCTGTGACCCGAGCTGGTTTGGGCTGGGATGAGCCCTCAGGCACAGGTGTTACCTTTCTCTCTCATAGCTGATTGCTTTTTGTTTTGCCCACAGCTGTCTCTCTTTACACCACCCATATCTATCATCGTAAATGTGTACACCTGCATGGTATTTTATGATGGGGCCCACCTGCTAAAATGGAGCAGCTGTCATGTTTCAGATATGCTGCCTGGGATTGATATCATTTAGCCTCATGGCAGAAATGAAATATGCTTCTGTTCCAACCCTTCCCACCCACTCGCTTCTCACTCCAATTGCCCTCCACTCTCATGGTGGAGGTCTCTGGGTCACAGACCCACCAGCTTGCTAACAGTGACTGTGGCATGTCCAGAGGACCCTGCCCAGACTTGTTCCTGCCCTATGCTTTCATTCAGACTCTTCTGGGCCTCACCTCCTGTGAAGCTCACCAACTACTCCCGCTCCCCAATCAATCTGCCTTCCTTTGTTTTCCTGTACTGCATTATCTATCATAAACTTGTGTTAGATCATTGAATCTGTCAGATTTGTTTGTGCTAAGAAAGAAGGAGAAGGGAATAAATGAAGACATTGTTTTTATTTGCTCAGATCTTTCAGAAGAACTTTAGGAGCATTTGAAAGACTAGCTAAACTTTTTCTGATAACTCCAAAATAACAGTCTAATCACTGAGTTGGGCCTGAAGGAGGAGCTGACCTTGACTTAGTTAGAAAGCACAATGGAAAAGGAACTAGGATAGGAATGCTGGTGGTAGAGGGTTGCACACAGATGTCCTGTGGGACATGATCATGGACCTTGTGCCTGCTTTAGAACTCTGACAGAAGAACTGGTGCCGAAGGAGACCTCAATAATAATAAGCTGTGCTTCTCCCTCTCCTTGGGATCCTCCATAGAGCTTTACAAATCCTCAGGGCCCCAGCTGCTCCCCAGGCCAATTAAGTGATGCACTCTGGGGTATGACCAGGCATCTGAAGTTTTTGTTAGTTACTGTTGAGTTGTCTTTGACTTGTGGCAACCTTAACCTTATGCACACCTGAAAGAAATACTGGCAGGTCCTGTGCCATCTTCATGATCTTTGGTACATTTTGAGTCCATTATTGTGGCTATCGTGTCAATCCATTGTGCTGAATTTTTTAGTGCTCCCTAGAAACTTCTAGTGTCCAAGCAGGACTGGAAACCACAGCTGAAGGATTCTGTTTAAATATGTGGATTTGAAAATGCAGCTAGATAGCATCACTTGGCTAACTGTTCTTATAATAAGGTAAACTAAATAACCAAACAAACAAACCTGTTCCCCAGGAGTCAATTCTGACTCATGGTAACCCCATGTGCTTCAGAGTAGAAGTAATCTGAAAGTATTTTCTTGGCTGTAATCTTTATGGAAGCAGATTGCCAGGCTTTTCTTGGAGCGGTTTGAACCATCAACCTTTTGGTTAGTGTTATTGTTGTTAGGTGCCTCCCAGTTGGCTCCAACTCATGGTGACCCTGTGTACAACTGAATGAAACACTGCCAGTCCTGCACTATCCTCACAATCCTTGCTATACTTGAGCCCATCATGCAGACACTGTGTCAGTCCATCTTGTTGAGGGTCTTCCCCTTTTTCTCTGACCCACCACTTTACCAAGCACGATATCCTTCTCCAGGGAATGGTTCCTTCTGACAACATGACCAAAGTAGGTGAGATGAAGTCTGGCCATTCTCACTTCCTAGGAGCATTCTGGCTACATTTTCTCCAGAACAGATTTGTTCATTCTTCTGGCAGTCTTTGGTATTTTGGGTATTTTTTGCCAATACCATACTCCAAAGGCATCAACACTTCTTCAGTCTTCCTTATTTGCTGTCTAGCTTTCACATGCAAATGAGGCAATTGAAAATACCATGGCTTGGGTTAGAAGCACCTTGGTAGTCAAGCTCAGATGCACCTTAGTAGTCAAGCTCAAATAGTTGGTGCCATGCAGGAGGGACCTTATAGAGGAGTGCTAATTGTCATGGGTCTCCATTTGTGTGTGAGTAGATGCATGTGCATGGAAAATGCAGAGAGGTGTACCTGGATGTTTACAACATTGCACACATTTATATATTTGGAGGAAGGCTAGATCCAGGTGACTCTCTTTCATGCCCTTCCATTCCAGCATACATCCAATTGATTTCAAACCCATTCCAATTTCCCCTAAGGCATAACTCCATTTTTAAAATGCTCCTCAAATCTTTTCCTGTTCTTATCACTGTATTGACTTGGGCTTTTTTCTTCTTCCTTATCATGATCATAACCTTCTAGGTCTTTCTCTGCTGGCATTCAGATCTTCTGTCTCCTACCATCCACGCTCCATATTACTGTCACAGATTGTGTTGTTCTTGTGCTTTGAAAATATTTGATGTTCCTCAGGTCTAGATACATGGTAATAATGATTGTGACATCTAACTCTTACCTAACATTTGTACATATGTGCCATTTACTCCTGACACCAGCTCTATAGGATAGTACTCTACTCTCATTTTACAGATGGAGAAACTACAGCAGGAAGCTCTGCTGAAACCTGTTCAGCATCATAGCAACATGCAAGCTTCCATGCACAGATGGGTGCATTATTACTTGTATTTCACAGAAATTCCTAGTTCAGAAAAATTACATATCTTGATTAAGGCCACATAGCTAAATAAGGAAATAATGGGAAGGATTCAAGCTAGGTTTTCCTCACTCTATAATCCACATTCTTTCTACCACACTGTACTGTCTTGTCTAAATTCTTTAGGGTGGCATAGGAGCTCCTTATAAGCTGTTCCCGATCTACTTTTCAGCCATTTTCTATTCCATTATTAACCATGCCCCTTTATTTTTGCTCATGCTCTTCCCTCCGCATGGCATACCCTTTCCTGCCCAGCTTAGGACCTTGTGCAGGGACTCTGGCCTTGCCCATCATATCCTGTTGGGAACTTGCAAACAGCAGGAGGTAGAGGCCATTCTCATCTTCTCCCCACCTCAAGAAGCCCTGTTGTGTCCTCCTTTTGAGGTAGGGGATAAGGTGAGAATGACCTCTACCTCCTGTAAGTTCCATGCAGAGGGTGATGTTTGCAGTGTGAACTTAAACATCAAGACACTTGTATTATGCCAAGGGTTTCCAAGGTGGTATCACTATGGAAGTAGATGGCCCAACCTTCCTTCTGAGGAGTGGCTGATGGGTCTGAACCACCATCCTTCTGGTTAGCAGTCAAGTGCCTTAGGCACTACGCACCAGAGCTGTCTTCTCTGTTTGATGGCTTCTTGAGGACACATGTCAGTCTTCTCATTTTTGTATCCTGTGTGTCTAGGGCATTGCAAGACAGATAGCAGGTGTTCACTAAATATTTTTTAAATAAATAGAGGGCAGACAAGGATAAGAAGGTGGAGAAAATCATAAAAAAAAAAAAAAAAAATTCATCCATTGGGCCTTGGTGGGGCTCTAATGTATGGAACAATCAGAGGTTTGTTTGCCTGATGGACTCTAGGGAAAGCTATGTTGTTTGAAAATATTCAGAAGGAAAGGAAGAGACTGGCTGTGCCATCCTAATGATCTAATCCAGCTCTTCACTTTTGCCACCAAGGTTTTTGTTTGGTTTTGACTGATTTATTTATTTTAAGTATGCTTTGCTAACCTCCTGATAAAAAGTCCTTGGCTTCTATGTCCTTCCAGCTTGGACTTTATAAACAGGATATACTGGAGAGTGTGTAAAAACTACAGAACTCAGGACTTTTTTTTACCACTCATTGCTCTAAATGGTGGTGGTGGTGTGTGGGGTGTGGGACATAGTACTTCTTGAATAGAGGTGGAAACTGTCAGGAGAGAAACAAATGCCAAAAAAAACTTGTTTGGGACTGGGAAAGTTAATGCTTTAACAGTTGAATAGGATTATAATTTATACTAGATTGATATCTTGACTTTCAATAACTTTGCACAAATGAATTTTTTAATTGCCATTAAAAATTTGTGGTGAAATATAGATAACAAAACATTTCTCATTTTGACAATTTTGAGTGTACAATTCAGTGATATTAATTACATTCACCATGTTACGCAACCATCACCACTGTCTATTTCCAAGTGTTTTTCATCACCTTAAATAAACTCAGTACCTCTTCATAAGCAATAACTCCTCATTATCCCATTTCTCCCTACCCCCTAGTAACTAATAAGCTTTGGTGGCTATACATTTGCTTATTCTAGGTACTTCATGTAAGTGGGCTCATACACACACACACACACACACACACACATACATATCTGTATATCTGTCCTTTTGTGTTTGACTTATTTCAGTCAGCATAATGTTTTCAGGTTCATCCATGTTGAAGCATGTATCAGAACTTCATTTCTCTTTATGGCTGAGGAATAGTCCATTGATAGTCCTGGGAGATGCATAGTGTTAAGCGTTATACTGCTAATGGAAAGATCAGTGGTTCAACCACACTCACAGGTGCCTCAGAAGATAGGTGGTCTGCTTCCAAAAGTGTACAGCCTGTGAAAACCCTGTGGAGTACAGTTCTACTCTGCACATATGGGGTCACCATGAGTTGGAATCCCCTTGACGGTAAGGAACCACAACATTCTGTTGTATGGATATGTATGTATGTATTGTTTATCTGTTCATCTGCTGAGGGCAGCTTGGGTTGTTTTCAGTACAGATGCCTTTTTGCCCCTTGTAAAAACATGGGTGGAAGGGTCAGGGGACCATAAGATGAGCTGTGAAGAATAAAAACGGCTTCCTCCATATCCATCTGACATTGTTTTTCAATTTTGTTTTGCACCCCGCAGGTCAGCGTTTTGACCACACTGGAGCGAAGGTTCAACCTGCAGAGCGCCGACGTGGGCGTGATTGCCAGCAGCTTTGAGATTGGAAACTTGGCGCTCATCCTTTTCGTGAGCTACTTTGGGGCCCGCGGACACAGGCCACGCCTCATCGGCTGTGGAGGCATTGTCATGGCGCTGGGCGCGCTGCTCTCTGCACTGCCTGAGTTCCTGACGCACCAGTACAAGTATGAGGCGGGTGAGATCCGCTGGGGCGCTGAGGGACGTGATGTGTGCGCCGCCAACGGCTCGGGTGGCGGTGAGGGCCCAGACCCGGATCTGATCTGCCGGAATCGGACTGCCACCAACATGATGTATTTGCTGCTCATTGGGGCCCAGGTGCTCCTGGGCATCGGTGCTACCCCTGTGCAGCCTCTGGGGGTCTCTTACATCGACGACCACGTGCGCAGGAAGGACTCCTCACTCTACATAGGTAGGCACTAACCCACTGTTGATTTTCATGTGTTAGTAACCAGGGTGTGTTCCCAAAAAATCATGAACTTTTGTTCTGTCAAGAGCCCTGGTTATGGGACTTGGCTGCACAACTAGGTTTTTTGTTTTGTTTTTAAATATAGATGCCTGAGTTCTACCCACAGAAATTCTGGTGTTGCTGTGGGTTCAGTGCCAGCTCACAACCCAAAAAGTTGGTGGTTGGAACCTACTCAGAATCACCTGGAAGGAAAGACCTGGTGATCTGCTTTCGAGTGGTCTCAGTTATGAAAACCCTGTGCAGAATAATTTTATTCTGACACACATGGGATGAGCATAGTCAGAACTGGCTCCATGTCAACTGGTTTGGTTCTTGTTTTGGTTTGAGCTGGGGTGGAACCTAGGCATGGAGTGTTTTAAAGCTTTTCAGGTGATTCTAGTGTGTACCAAAATTTGAGCTCTGCTTGAATGAGAAGATAATTCAGGAGGAGTTTATCCTTTAGTTATCTGCTCTCTCTGTGTGTGTATACACTCTGGACTGTTTGCTATTAACCACAAATATACACTTGGCATCTATATATTAGAAATCCCAGCTTTTAATAATCAAGACTTTCTCCTGGTTATTGTCTTAATAAAGCTTGATGGGAGAGGCCTGGGGCATTGCATTTGGTATCATTGAATGTTAATGATTTCTACTAATGTTTTTCTGTAAGGGGAGTGTGCACAGAAACTGGATATTTAAGAAGAAATAAGATATCTGTGTATTTTGTGCTGTAATAGTTACTGATATTTTATACTGGAAGGAGGAGGCCACATGTACGTTTTGGGTTAAGAGGCATCACAGTGGCGCAGCACATGACATGCTTGGTTTCTGTTTGTGGGCACAGTTGGGTGGTCATTTATAGGGTGAGGGCTGGCCTGCCCAGTGTCTGCATCCCCTGCTTACCAAATATATTCTTGCCTCCCACAAGCTGTTGAATTGCTCTGACACATCCTCAGTCACTGAGTGCTAAGCCTAAAATAAATTACTTCTACCTGGGGAAGCTGTGTGCCAGGCAGCCTGAAAGCAGTGTGCCTTGAGGTATAAAGTTAATTATAATATAGAGGTTTAGGTTAAAATAGAATTTGAAATGTGTTTGACATAAAGCTTTGTATCTGTCAAAGTTCCACCATACGCTACCCAAGCTTTATTGAGACAGGACAGTTTGGAACAGTTGAATACCTGAATCCCGATTTTTCTTTTTTGCTTTTCTGTCCCAGCTCTGGAGGAGAATGATTTTGTTGACCAGATATGTTGTAGGTGTGTATTTCCGCCCTCAGTGATCGAGGCCCTCCACAGGGAAGGCAGAGAGTATGCATGTCCTTAAACAAGGCAGTATTGTTGAGCCTGGTCGTGACCTACGTATGGGATACAAAGTGGAAGAGAAGACCGCTCAGGCTAAGGATGACTTGGCCCTCCCCCATATGGTTAACTCGTTGCCATCAAATTGATTTTGACTCTTGGTGACCTCAGGTGTGTCAAAGTATAACTGTGCTCCATAAGGTTTGCAGTGGCTGTTTTTTTTTTTTTTTTTTTTTTTTTTAAATAGATTGCCAAGCCTTTTCCCAAGGTATCTCTGGTGAACTCAAACTTCCAACCTTTTGGTTAGCAGCTAAACATGTTAACCCATTGCACTACCCAGAGACCCCATAGTGGTTAATATTTTCCGTTAGTGTGCTTAAGGATGAGTAGAGTGTGGAAAGGCTGCTAAGGGAATTATTTACATTGTCTTGCATTTAAAGTTTGAGTGAAACTAACTCCCTGTTAATCCTTTGCAGACCATGACATGACTAAAGCATGTAGCCAGAATGGTCTGAGGTCCAGCCAGAAATTAATTGATCTCTAACTTGACTGTTCCTTGATACCAGTAGAAGCATGTAGATAAATCAGAGCACAGGGAGGAAATGAGAAATGACAAGCTGAGTTCTTGTTTCTGTTGGTAGGATAAGCTAGACAAATTTTTCCCCAGAACCTCTTAAAGTTATAACAGTGCTGAATCACCTCTGAGGCGCCCTGCCTGGAGCAGCAGGCTCAGAACCCTCTTCTGAAAGGATCCTCTGATGAATTAGAGTGTTAGGATTTCCCCACATTGGTTTGGGGCCTGGTTTGAATAACACTTTAGGATAAAGAGACATTTTTGTTCTGGGCATGGAGGCATGAGAGGTGGAGGCATTGTCATTAGGACTGACCATCTGAGGCAAGGGCCTTCTCAATTTCTGATGCCTCATCTGTGGAATTTGCAGTGAGTCAATGGTAGGAAGAGGACATTTTGGCCCCATTTCTACTTGAATGCCTTTTTTTTTTAATGACAGTTCAGCAGTGAGAGTTAGGGGAAGTGTCTGTTTGGATGGTACATGGACATCTTGGCAGCTCTGGTGTCTGGCCAATTTCCCAAAGATGACAGCACATAGCCATGAATGAAGATGATCTGTCCAAGGCTCTCTGCACCATGTCTAGCTCTCAGAACTGGTTTCATGGGTCTGTATTTATCAGGAGCATCAGAGAATGAGCCTTCTGCACAGATTGGCCACTGGAAGTGGCCTTTTGAATTCTCTAGGAGCAACTTAAGAAGACCATAGTATATGTGGTCCATTAAGATATTGTCTAGGTAAACAAAAATGTTTATGATCATGATAATATTTCGTGATGATAATGTTTCAGCATATTGTTCTTCTAATCAGGTGTTAGTTCCTGAAGACACTTCACTTTGCTTCTGGAAGAATTTGGGGCAGCCTACTGCATGGAAACAATATGAATTTATGCCATCTTAACTCCCTCCATCTATGAGTGGCACAGACAGTTTGTGTTCAGCTACTAAGGTTTGTTGTTTAAATCTCCCCCACAGCACCAGGGAAGAAAGGCCTGGTGATTTGCTTCTGTAAGGATTACAGTCAAGAAAACCCTATGGAGCAGATCTACTCTGTCACACGTAGAGTCATCATGAGTTAGAATCAACTTGACGGAAACTGGTTTTAACTCCTTCCAGAGAGGAGGAAAGTCTAAAAGGATTGACATTAGAGGCTTATCCTGGTACCTCTGGACAGAAGGGATTGTGGGTGCAAATGTGTACGGAATGGGGTAGAATACCAGGTTTCCCCTTCAGGCTCCAGTTCCAACCAAGCTGGCTTAGAGAGACAGAGACAGGCTGCTCTGGTCAGCTGCCTAAAATGTGAGTATAGAATAGAAATTGCAAGGATTATAAATATTGCATGTGTGAAAACCAACTATTGTTTGCAAACCAACCCTTTCCTGTAGGTGTCAGGTGGGAAGAGGACAGTTGGCATGCAGTGCTCTGATGCAGGTCACTGGAGAGGAGACCTGCGCCTGGGATGTCTCCCTGATGGGTGTGGTCTGTGCAACGTCTATGCCCTGCAATAGACCCTACCCCAACAAGGGGTGGGGGTGTAGAGAAGAGTGAAGTTTTCTGTCTTGAGGCAGGTTGAGCTTTTCTACTGCAGTGGCTATTTGCTTTGGCTTCATGTGGCCCAGCTGGTGCCAACTCCTGGATTCTTCGATGGGCCATTCACAAGGGGCTCCTCTGGCTGGCACCATTCTGTAGCCACTCCTTTTCAGCGTGGAAGGGAGCGGAGGGACCTCATTACCAGGGGTCATACTGATGAATGGGGACTTGGATCTGCTGGCAGGCTTTCACAGTGGCATAGTGTGGAGCTGAGCCTTCCTGAGCGGACAGACAGAGGCCCGTGGGTGGCACGTGGCACATTTTCTTCCGAAAGAGCAGGGTGGCCATGGAAACCCTTTGATGTGAGGGGTGCAATTGCGGTCTAAGAATTGATCCTTTGGGAATCTAGTCATGCAACCTAACATTAGCCCAGTTTTCTTAGCCCATCTTCTTTCTCCAAGTCAGAACACACCACAAGTTGTATTTGTTCTTTCTGAATAAGTACTCTGGTCAAACCAAGTCACTGTGTGCTTTCATCAGTTGCTGTGTAACTTACTTGTTGCATTGTTTTTTGAAGAGGAGGAGGAAGAAGATGGAAGAAAATGGTAAATATATTTTAAACAACTTTACTCCTAGTTAAAAAGTATTATAAGTTCACTGTAATTTTGAAAGTGTAGAAAAAGAGTAATTACTGAAAAGTGACTCTTAACATCGTGGTGTATGTAATGCTAGTCTTTTTCTCTCCATTGGTATGTTTTTCTACAGTGATGTGTTTATAATAAACAATGTTTTGTAACTTTATCTTTCTCTTAATATCTCATAAGCTTTTTCCCATGCCATTAAATATTCTTCTACTCATGACTACTGCATACATAACATTCTCTTATGAACATTTGACATCACAGTTAATCCCCTGTGTTGTTGGACCTTCGAGTCCCTGGGTGGTGCAAATGATTAATGTAGTTGGCTGCTAACTGATATGTTGGAGGTTCAAGTCCACCCAGAGGCGGAAAAATCAGCCATTGAAAAACTTGTGGAGCATAGTTCTATTCTAATGCATATGGAGTCACCACGAGTTGGCATTGACTCCATGTAGACTACTTTTTTTTCTTAATCGTTAGACATGTGGTTATAAAAGTTTTGCTCATATAGAAACACAGACATGTGAAGTGAAATTCCAAGAGGTTAAGTAACTTGCCCTGGATTCCTTACCTGGATGGAGCTGGGCTTTGAGTCTGAGAGGGACACTTGTTCCAGGTATATCTAGGATATGCTTACAAGGCTGGGAGGGGGTTGGGATACAGAGAACTGATAGATTATCCAGGGAATCACATACAATCAGAGGCATTGCACAAGGCAGCCAGAAGCCTTAATTAAAGAAATAAAAATCTTTGGAGCCAGGACTGTGAGAAAGCAGTGGTGTGCCTCAAATCTGAGAGAAATGGAAATGGGAAATGGAAAATGAGTGTCAAAGCCAGAAAGGAGTGTTGGAAGTAAGGAGAGAAAGGAGGATACTCCTTTGCAGGTCGAGTTAAACTGATGGATGTGAAAAAGGATATGCCCT